TAGCTGACCAAGTTAAAATTGTTCACTGAATTTTATTACCAGTAGAAATCTACATATTGACTTCTTTTTCCCTGAAACAAGACATATTTTCCTAATGAAGCCCTCAGAGGTCTAGGGTGTTAGGTAAGTGCAATCTTCAGGAAGGAAACCTCTCATCTGAAAAGAGAACTTTACAGGTGCCACTGGCAACCCACATTTATCTGGAGCAAACAGTGGGAGTTGATGAATCAGGGGCCAGGCACCTGCTGATTTTAAAAGGGTGTGGACACTACATACCAGGGCCAGGTCAGACTGCTCACTCCTAGCAGAGAAATGATCAGGGCTCATCCAAGCTTTCAACCTGTGTGGTACATGATGATGGGGCCATGAACTAACCACCAGATGACCTTCTCCAAAGGAAATTTCTGTTCCCATTCCCCAAAAGAAAGCCTGAAATTGGAAAAGCTAAGGACTCCTCATGGTTTCTACCATTGCTGCTTTGCATGGCACACAGCCCCCCTCCCCCACCCTACCCCCACCACTCAGCATCTTCCTCCAGTATCTTTCAATGCTAAGATCTTGAATATTTGAGGTTTTTCCCAGGGCAACCTTTTCTTCTAGCAGTCACCTTAAGCAGAATCCTATTTTCCTTGAGCAAAGGAAGAAGAACCTTCAATCATCTTGCAGGAAGATGATACCATCTGCTTGGGGATTCCAAGGAGATGTTTTACTGCAGCTTTTCACAAACTGATTATATTTAAAGCTCCTTGGGGAGTGGGGGCTGGGAAGAAGGCGGCTTGGGAGAAGACCTTTGCTGGCATGAATGAAAAACCCGCAGACCTCCCAGGGGAGCAAGCTTGTTTAAATACCGCCAATCTGCCCTCCCAAGTACATGTGCGCACACAATGTGTTCCAAGTTTTAAATTTCATCTCCTGCTCTAAAAGGGCCCTGAAAGGGTTAAACTGTTCCAGGCAAAGGCCTGAGTCTGTTCTATCAAAATGCTCCAGATGGAAATTACAAAATTTCACTTCTCAGCTCTGTGGCGCACACACACACTGTTCTTCTAAGACATTAAAAAAAAAAAAAAAAAAAAGACAAGACCCCTAATGTTCTCAAGAAAGAGAATTTGACTGCTCAGCACACAGTGCCACTCTGTCTCCAACGATTCCTCCTGGGATATTTGCATTAACTGTCAATCTTGAACCTTCTGTGGGACTGTAAAAACCCAAGGTAAGAGAGGCTAAGGAAAGGGGTCTTGACTAAGGACAGGATGATCCCTGGGACTAGGTGCATTGGATGAACGCACCTAGATCATCCATACCCTCCCTGCACTTTTTTGTTATTCCAGTCCCACAAGAAGCAAATAGACCAGAGCCAAAAGGCTTCAGGTTATGACCATAAATCTGATCAGGGTGGTCAAGAATTTCCAGAGATTAATGTATACGAAAGCACTTTGTAAACTGGAAAGACTGTAAAAGCACTAAGAATACTATTGCTTTGAGTCAGACATTGGGAGGCATGAACTTTGAGAGGAATCTAAACACCCACAAACCAGAAACAATGATGGTTTTTTAAGACGGCAGCTACAAGGCAGGCTGACTAAGGAGGCACGCCCTTCATAAAACCGCACTGGGGTAGGTTTGGTGCTGCAGCCTAGAAGTCCCTCAGGGTGAACATTGCAGGTGGGTTAAGGGGAGGGAAAAACCACAGCATAGCCAGGGTCCCACAGAGTCCACTTACGTCCACTTGGTTCTAATTCTGAATGAAAAGCAGCGTCTAGGGCTCTGGTCAGAAACATACAGAAAAAAACAGTGGCCCACAGCTAGACCATTTACCTGATCACTTTATAGAAAGGGAAAATACCGTCAAGAGAGCTGCAGTGACTGACCCCAGCTACCTTTCATTACTATTGGAAGAACTTAAACTCCAGCTCAAGTTTCATTCCTAGTAGCCAGTGCTCTGATGAGGCCCTAATGTTTAGCCCAACTCACCAAGAAGGAAGGCTCACTAACTGAGCAGACCATGTCAGTAGTGAGTACTGAGAAGTGTCAGGACGTGTGCTAAATGATTTTTATGTACCATGTTGGTGAATCCTCACAGCTACGCTAGGAAATGCATTGTGTTGCCTATTTTACAAATTAGGAAACTGAGGGCCAGACAAGTCCTGTCAGTGGCCGAAGGTACAAAGCAAGTGTGTGGCATAACAGAGATTTGAACCTGACCCTATAGAGTCAAAAGCCTGCCCTTTTAACTACTAGGCCAAAATAACAATTTCCCTTTTTATCTTGGCATTTCTAAGAGGGTAAGATGGGCAGCACCATGTGTCCATATAACATGTACAAAGCTGACCCTCATAACTCTGACGGAAGAATTCCAGCTAGTGGCGAGCAGAGCCTACCCAAAACCCAAGTCTTTTGTCACACAGAGAACATGGGTTCTAGAGTGGAAGTTTCATGAGGGAGGAGGCTCTGTCTTGTTCACTGCTCTATCCCCACCCCCTAGAACACACAGAAGGCATCCAACAACTAACTGATGACTGAAGGCAAGGAGGCACGCTGCCTGCCTTGGCTTTGTGACCTTGGGAGGACCTCTCATCCTCATGAAGCCTCAGTTTCTTCATACGGTTAACGGTTAACAGAGAGTGAAATAATGTCTACCTCCTGGGTTGATGTAAGGATTCAACCAGATAGTTCCCGTAGAGCACATAGGACAGGCTGGAACATAAAAAGCAACCAAAATGTAATCGACTATTATCATTATCATCACTCTTATTCACTGACAGATTTTGGCTTCTCATGGAATTCTTTTTCCTACTCAGGTCAATGTTTCACAGTAAATACGAACAAGATAGAAAATTGGGAGTGTGTAGCCTGCTTCTACTTTCAGCTCTAATCCACATAGCTGTGTGACCTTGGGCAAGCCTCTTAATTTCTCTGTACTCTCCTCAGCTGTAAAATGAGGCACTAAACCATTTAAATGAGTTCCTAAACCATTCATCGGGCACCTTCTCTGGGTAAGACATCATGCTCAACCATCTATAAAATTCTATGATTCCGAATAGAATAGTATCAAAGGAAAAGTATCAGAGCAAAGCAAAACAGCCCCCTGCTAGTGGCAAGGTTAAAGAGAAATCCCAAATAGCCAATTGCATTACATCATCTCAATAAGCAATGTTTGTAAATACACAAAGTGTTTAATTTTGAGGCTCATGAGAAAGCCTTCACCAATAAGGAATCAGCAGAAACGATTCTATTAACACCTATCAGCCCTCAACCTTCCAAAAAATAAACATGTAAAATCACTTTGCACCTTAGTCAAATGGTATGCTACTGGAGAGAAATCTGGGAAAGTCAAAGTTATTAACACTCCCTATGGCAACAGTTCAGAATAGGATGTGTTAAAAAAAAAAAAAAAGAAAAAAGAAAAGAAAAGAATGATATATCTGGTTAAAACTGCAGGGGAGATTCCAAGAGCAGAATGCAGTGCATCTGGACAGGACATGAAGGCCAGTGGCCCATTGTTTACAAAAACAGACCCAGATTATGAACAGTGACAAGAGGCCAAGACCTCTATTATAACTCACAACCACACCTCTCCCTATCCCAGTTCAGCTGAAGCTATCAATCAGTCAACTCCCCTACCACTGTATTAAACCCACCAATATTTGCAGCCAAGAAGATAGAAGGTCCCTCAGGGCATCTCCAGCAAGGACCAAGCTGGTGACATTAAAAATATCCTAGAGGCACAATGGGGTCTCCAAACTACCTTCCAACCTTCCAAAAGACAGGGGCCCATTTCAAGCTCCACCTCTATCCCACCCCAGGCAATCATTAAAGGAAAGATTTGGACCTTCCTAAGTCCTCTATGATAGGAAAGGTCTCCTTGCATTGGTGCAGGGAAAGAAGGAGGGGCCCCTCCCTCTATACTCTGAAACAAAGGAAAACCCAGAGCTCCAACCATGTGGTGTAACATTCAAGGCCACCCACCTCTCCCACTCCCCAGCTGAGGTGTCAGTGGGCAAGAGCCTCAGGACTCTTGCCAGTGACTGACCAGGAAGGCACAGTGCCTTGCACAGACACATGCTGGGGCTCTGTAACAGGCAGGAACCCCTCCTATGGGAATTGCTGGTTAAGGAAAGGCTCTCTAGGAAGGGACTCTGAGTCACTGCCAAATCAGGCAGTCCTCTAAATGTGCAGACAGGTCATTTGGTTTCTCCTGGTCCACGTTTTGCTTTACCCTTCACATTTTGCAGAGAGAGAAGTGGGCCTTTAAAAGCATGTATTCTGGAGCAGTGGGTAACACCACGGAGGGTTAAACAATTATGTCTTCCCATTCTCCAGAATCAGCACCACTCAGCATTCCTAAATCCCAACCCTATTCACTCCGGGTGTAGGTGAGGGAGGAGACTGAGTGAGTGACCTTATTCTTTCCGATCTCTGACTGAATGCAGGGTGACCACAGACCAGGCAGATACAGGTGCACCCAAGTGGCTACAGACTTTGCATGTCTGATGCCACAGTAAATGTCATGTTTTGATACAGTGCATCAGAAAAACCCCTGCCTCGCCCAGGGCTCTCCAATGGTACCCCTTCTCAAGGTTGCCTTTCTCTGCCTGGACTCCTCTTCAACCTCAGAAATAAAATCCCAAACACCTGTCAGATTTCACTTGTTCTTCAAGGAACCCTGACCCTGACACCCAGAAGCAATCTGCCCCCTTTCTCTCTCCAAGAACCTTTTGCCCCTCCCCCACCCTAGCCAGCCCGGAGGAAAGGGCTGCCAAAATAATGGCCAGCCCAGAGCCAAATCTAAAGCCCACTCCAAAGATCCCTTTCCAGAGCCTGTCGCCCCGACACTACCCACCCCTTGGAGGCTCAGACCCATCCATGAAACCACCCCTGGTGGTCAGCCTAACCCCACCTGCTCCACCCAAAGAAATGAACATCCTGCAAATCAGGGTGGAAATACGTGCTTAAATGGCCCACTGGGCTTATGCATTATTCTATTTTTTCAAAGCCCTTACCTTTGACCTGAGTATCATACTCTGCTATGATCTCCTTATCCTTTTTGAATTTGGCTGGAGACGTCATGTTTTTCTTCTTTCTTCCAAATTCAAATGGTGAATTGATAGATCCACGGGAAAAATCCAACCACCGAGATCAATACCTCCAAGACCGCTTCTCCCGAGGGCAGAAGGGGCCCCCCGCGGTGGTCTCCAGCGCTCCGGGGAGCGCGGGCTGCGGGCTGGGCAGGCGGCTACCGCCGGCACATGCAGACGGTGGGCGCTGGGGCCGGGCGCGGCGGCGGCTGGTTCCTGCACTAGAGCCGTAGCCGCAGCCTCAGCATTAGCCAGGAGAACTGCAGCGCCCGGAGGCTGGCCTGGGGTCTGACATCAACGACACAGGCGGGGAGTGGAAGTCCTTCCGCACAACATGGTGTGGGGGTGCGGGGGTGTGGACGCGCCCAGCTGTGTCCCCGGCAGGGAATGGGTGCGTACGGGGTGCCGGGGGAGGGCTGGGCGTGCTTCGCGGTTTTTTGTTGCACAGGCTGGAAGATGCTGCAAATCAAATCCCAAACGGGAGCCGCAGCGGCGCGGACGGGATCGGAAGTCGTTTGCTCCGGTTCACTTGCCTGTAAATGCAGGGGAAAGGGGAGGGGGCGATCAGCCCCAACGCAGACCCTAATCGCCGCGTGGGTGGAGTAGGGGACGCGATCGCGGGCCAGGCCTGGGCCCATTCATCTCCCCAGACGCCGCGTGCCCCCGAGCCGGGCGCTGCCAAGTGGGGAAGAAGGAAGCTCCCTCCGGATTTTGTTTTAAGACTGGAAGAAAACACTTTGGAGCAGCCGCCTGCGCGGGCTCAGGGTGGGGACTGCGGCGGGAACGCGGGGTTCCGGGCGGGGACTGCGGCACCTCGGAGGCCTCCCGAGGCCCGCCGGAGCCGGGAGCGGCCAGCCGGAGGGAGCCCTCCCGGCCCGGACTCCGACTTGGCCCCTGAGCTCCGGCGGGGGCGACTCCCAGGACATCAAAGGGGATCAAAGCCGGGGAGGGACGAGTCACCCGGGCACAACTTTTCTTCCCCTCCTGCCCCTCCTCCCAGTTGTTTTGTTTTTGGTTACTAGCTTCTCTTGGCAGCAAAATGTTGGGGGGGAGGGGGGTGGAGATCGGCAGGAAAACGCCTGCTCGGCACGGGACACATCCAGGAAAACAATGTGGTCGGCAGAAGCAGGAAACGGGTTAGAGGCGAGGGTCGGAGTCGGGAAAACCGGGGGGCGGGGGGCGGAAAGCTGCCGCCGCCTCCCCCAAGCCAGGAACAAGGGTGGCTCTTATTGCCACCCCCAGTATTTTTGGTCACCGAGGCCCAGCTACCCCCGATCCCGCACCCAATCCCAGGCTGGGGGCGGGGAGGGGGTCGGGCAGGGTCGCGGTCTCCCGTCCCAGCACCAGGAGGTGCCCTAGAAGACCCCGCCCCGGTCCCGGCCGGGAAGGCGGGAGAAAGGCGGGCGGAGCGCAGGGCTGGAGTCCCGCTCCCGGCGCGCCGCGGCGGCGACCCTCCCTCCCCGGCCGCCCCGCTCCCTCGCGGCGCCGGGGGCGTAGCCTCGCGCGGCCGCCCTCGCTCCCCGCGCCGGGGAAGGGCTGCGCGGCGGGAGGGAGAGGGGCGCCGCGGCCCGGCGGTCCGGGCGGCAGGAAGCGGGGAGGGGGTGAGAGGTGGGGTCGGGAGCCGCGAGGGTCGGAGCCCCGGGCTTCTGCACGCGCCGGGAAGGCGGGGCGGGCGAGGCGGGGACTCCCTTCGGGCGGGGGTCAGGAGGCGGCGCGGGCCGCGCCGCGGCGTGGAACGCGAGGATGTTCGCAACTTCGCGGATCCAGACCAGGGTCCGGGAATGCGAAGACCGGCCCTCGCGGGCGGGCGGGAGACCGGGACGGGGACGAGCTCGGCTCCGGAAGCTACGCGAGCCCCATCCCCCGGGCCCCGCGCTGGACGCCGGCGGTCTGCCAGGCGGGGACGGGCGAGGCGGCCGCGGCTGTGGCTGCCGATGCCAAGACGGTCGCCCCAGGGTGGACCCGGCTGCCGCGCGCGGGGGGCGTGGGGAGGGGCTGGGTGCGGGCGGCGCGGCGGCCCGCGAGCCGGGACCGAGCCCCGGCCGGGCGGCGGAGGGCGCAGAGGCGCCGTCCCGAGGAGTTCCGGGCTGCCCGGGAGGTCTGGAGAGCGCTGCGGGGAGGAGGTCTGAGGGATTCCGGGCGGCTCCGCTGAGGCGATGCCGCGAGCAGCATCCGCGTCCTCCCCTTCCCGCCCCTGCCAGGGTTTGCTCAGTCGGGGATTCGGTCCCGCGGCCGGGCAGAAGAAAGGGAAGAGGGAGGGAGCCTTTACCTGGCTCTGACGCGTCGGGCTTCGGGCCCCCGGCTCCGCTTCCCTCTCAGGGCTATCCGCCCCGCGCTTCCCCGCCACCCGCTTCTACGCAGCTCGGTCCCCTCGTCCCTGGAGGAGCCTGGGCCAACTCCGCGGGACCCCGCCGGGAAGTAGAGCCCACCCCCCTACCAATCACCGCCCGCCTCCTATCGACCGATGGGGCCGGTAGCCAATAGGAATGGCTGATCCAGAGAGGCCTGGAATGGAAGGAGGGGCTGGCCAAAGTTGGAGGTGTGACTAGCACTCCCGAGGCGTGGTCACAGAGTGAACTCCTCCCGGGCTGGCCGAACCCTAAAGTAGAATTGATGGGCGGGATTAAGATGGAACCAAGAACCAAACGCAAACTCTTAAGAGACCGCATGTCCAATTGAACCTAAGTTAAGAGGCGGGGCTTTGAGGAGAGATTAGAGATTAGAGGCCGGCGGGACCGCTTCCAATAAGAAACGCGAAGGGCGTGCCCTGCTGCTGTCCAAGGCAGGGTTCGCCCGGAACTGACCAATGATATCGGAGGCGGAACCAAGCTCGACCAACCAGAACGCCGATCTGATCCCTGCACCGTTACTGGGGCGGGGCGTACAGGCTCCCTGCCACTAAGCTCTCACCAGGGGCAGGTCCGGCGTCTTCCAATGAGGGACGTGGGCGAACTCTAGCTCTCCCAATCGGCGCGCGGCGCTGGCAATTCAAACTGACAGCAGGTTGGAAAGGCAGAGAGACCGGAAGAGGGAGCAAAAACCGGCGTGTTCGGTGACAGCGGCCCGAACGCCGACTGCGCCCCAAAGGCGACCTCATCCCGCCCCGGCGACACCACCGCGCTCTTCAGAGAGGCCGGTCCGGGAGGGACCTGAGGAGACGGCCGCGGGCTCGAGGGAGAGCTGAGGGGAGGGGAGCGCGAAAGCAAACGCTGAAGCGGGGGCTGCAGGGCAGGGACGGGGGGCGCGAGCCTCCGAGGAGGACCGGGGTTCGTTCCTGCGGGGAAAGCTGAGGCGATTCCGGGACCCTGGCAACAGAAGAAAGCTTTCCAAAGAGGAGGCGTGGTAGGGACGCCTCGAGGGGTCCGAGAGGAGCCGGAGCGCTCCGGGACTGGGGTTCAGGCTGAGGGAGGCCTTCCTGGAGCAGACGCTGTGCGGGGGGCCGTGCTGGAGAAAGCTGGGGTGCCAGCCCGGCGGGCCCTTTCGGACGCGGGAAGGGGGACGCTGCCTGCAGCCCCCGCGACCCTTGCAGCTCGGCTCCCTCCCCCCACTCCAACCCCACCCCCTTCCCCGAAAGTTAAAAGGACCTTTGCTGCTTCTGTCCTACTCAATAAATAGTACTTTTACCCTCCAACGGGGGAAACAAAAGAACTCATTTCCTTCCCAATTCGGTGCTTAGGAAAGCCCCAGGCCAGGCTGGCCTCTCGACTGATTTTATAATTTTAACTCAGGGGTCAAACTAGCAAGGGCCTTGCTCGTGTGTCCATTCTCAAAACCCCACACTCTGCCTCGTTTCGCGGCGCCATGTCTACCAGCAGCTGTAGTTTCAAGGACCGGTGCGTGTCCATCTTATGTTGCAAATTCTGTAAACAAGTGCTCAGCTCTAGGGGAATGAAGGCTGTTTTGCTGGCTGATACCGAAATAGACCTTTTCTCTACAGACATCCCTCCGACCAAGTAAGTCATGCCAGTGGCGGGCAAGGGGAGAGTGCGGCGTGGAGGTCGGGGAGTCAGCACGGAGGTTATCATTTAGGTGATGCAGCCGCTCGCAGCAGTCTGATGATCCCCTTGGAGGATAACTAAATGGGCAGACTGTCTGGACAAAGTCTGAGGTTTGGCCGCAGCGGTCAGTCCTGATGTCATGCTTCTAGTTCAATTACAGTCATGTGACCACATCCCTAGGTTGGATCCCTGGCGCTGTGCCCGGCCCCACCTTGCCACTCACCCAACCAAGCCCTTGACCTCGACTTTAGGTGAATTCAGGCAAGATTTTCCTTTTTGTTGGAGAGACCATTGAAGTTTTCGTCTTTATCCATAAAGTTTTACACTAAAAAAAAAAAGAAAGAAAGAAAACCTCGTGGTTTTCCACCATTATTTCTGCATGCAAAATCTGGATCCATAATCCATTTAGGTCAGAAGTCTCTCAAGGAGAGATTTGAGTCTCTCAAGCAGAGATTTTTATGGGAAGAAACAAAGACTTGTCCCTAAAATAAAGCCTATTTTGTAGACTTATGCACTTGTTTTCATAATTAAATCCTTTGAAGTTCTGTTTTGGGTCACTGCCACTTTGGGGTATATAGTTCTTAAGAATTTGCTTTTTGTTTGAAAAATTGTCATTTTCTTTCACTCAAATTTACCTTTTTCTAGCTTTATAAGGGTGTTTTCTTTCCACAGTCAATCATGTACTTTACATGATTTTCAGTATTTACTTCTTTATCAAAGCTTTATAGCATAGTTTATCATTAAAATAATAGAGTGATTATCCAAAATATGGGCAAACAGCTTTTCTTTGGACACAGAGTTATAGGAGGCAAGCTAATAATCATAATGAATTTCATGATAATAATGGAAATTTTAGATATTTGTAAATATACTCAAAGCTGAGATTCTTCCTCCTTTGAAATCTTTCTGAATTTGTTTAAATGGAGTCATATCTAATGATAAATCCAAGATTCTCACTTACTGCAAAGTAAATGGGTTTATATTTTATGTACCATTGTGTTTGTGTGTCTGTTGTGGAAAGAAAAAAGCACTGCAATTAATCTGGAACCAACTGTTGCAAAGTTCCCATGATTTGTGGTCTAGTTCTTTTCCTTCTTCATGGCACACATACATACAAATTTAAAATATTAGTTCACTTATCTTGCAATAAGTGGTAAATAATAATACAGTCATAAGATAAGCTTAGTTGTATGAATTGTTATACATAAACCAGAATCTAGAATAAAATCAGGTCTTTCCTATTGTCTACTCTTCCTTGCAGGGGTTTTAATGATGATAGATTAATGTACTAAGATGTGTGTGAATCAATGAACATGTAAGACTTTTTTAATGAAAGATTTGTCAGACATTTATAGTGAGTTCAAAAATATTAACTGAGTCTTACAAAATATACTCAGATTCTCTTTCAGTTCTCTGGATCTACAAAATTCATACTAAGTAGCAATCAAAAGTACGTTTTGGTGGCATGGATATAGAAAAACTAGAGCCCTGTACACTATTGGTGGGAATTGCAGCTGCTATGCTGCATTTGTTAAGTTGAAAACTGTATTGCAGCTCCTCAAAAAATTGCAAACAGAATTAATATATGATCTGGCGAGCCCACTTCTTGTTATATATCCTAATAATTTAATTCAGGATCTGGAGGAGGAGATACTTGCACATCCATGTTTTTGACAGCATTATTCACAATAGCCAAGAGGTGAAATCAACCCAAATGTCCATCAACAGATGAACAAATAAACACAGTGATATATATATGATTGAAATATTATTTAATTTTAAAAGATTGCTATACATTGCAAGATGGACCCGGAGGACAATGTCCTAAGGGAAATAAGTTACAAAAAAACAAATACAGTATAATTTCACTTACATGTGGTATCTAAAGTAGTCAGATTCACAAAAACAGAAAGTAGAATGGTGGTTGCCAGAGACTAAGAAAAGGGGGAAATGGGAGAGTTGGTTAATAAATGAGTTTCAGTTTTGCAAGATGAAAAAGGTCTGGAGATTTATTGTATAACAATGTGAATACATGTAACACTCTTGTTTATACACTTAATATGCTTACGTTAGTAAATTTCATGCTGTGGTTTTTTTTTTGCAGTGATTTTTTTTTTTTTTTAATTCGCCTTAACAATCTCTATGCTTTACCCTCTCCAGTGCAGTGGATCTCATTGGAAGATGCTATTTCACTGAAATCTGCAAATGTAAACTGAAGGACATTGCATGTTTAAAATGGTAATTTGTGGCAGTATTCTAAATAGCCCTGAGTCTGGGAGATGGATGTTGACAGCAAAGCACAGAGAAAGGTTCAGTGGGCTGCATCAAGTACTGGTTATAACCCATGCAATGAGCCATTGAAGAACCACTTTTTATATAAAGCTCTTTTTCAAAAGGATCTAGTGATACTTTACATTTGTACATGATTTTGCAATTTTTCAATGCAATTTTTGCAATTTTTCAATGCAATTTTTGCATTCACAGATATCTGCTTTAATTTTCAGAACAAGGCAATGTAGTTTAGGGGGACAAACACTTGGATTTACAGTCATAAATATCAGGTTTGGTTTATTTTATTCTTTATATGATCTTGAGTAAACTCATTAAACCTCTGAACTTTTATTTCCTTATTTAATTTGTGTCTTAAGAAAATAGAAACCTAATAAGATTAGACATTGTCTCCTTAAGACAGATATTTAAATATCCTTTATGTTTACCTTATAGAGTTGTTGTGAAGATCAAATGAATTATGAATGTTGAAAGGCATGATAAACTAAAATTACAACACTGATGAAACTTGTTATCTTTAGAGAGGTGAACAGACTTGAGTGGTATGAATCCTGTTCTAGAGAGAAGAAAATTGAGACTCTTTTATTTAAATGAGATTTGAATTATAAAGTATAATCCTAGTCATTTAAATGAGCAAAAATCCTCTTGTGTGTTAATGACTATTTTATTACATTCCTTCAATGCATTCAAGTTATTTTTATATTAAAATCTTACCAAGACCTAGTCATTGTTGTAAGGGCTGGAAATAAAGCAATAAACAAGACAAAGTCACTGGCCTTTATACTTTATATTCTAGTAGGAAGGCCATCATTCAGTAAGATATTTAAATAAGGTATTTAATAGGGTGGGAAGTGCCTCAGAGAAAATAATAGATGCTGGGAGAGTGAGGAAGAGTTCTTTTAGATAGCACAGTCAGGGAAGGTAACATTGGAACTGAATCCAAAAAGAAAAGGAACCAGAGGAAGAATGTTACACACAGAGGGAATCCAAGGCTAGAAGAAACGTACCATGTTCAACAAATACAAAGAAGACAGCTGGTGTGACTGAGACATGTGAGCATCAGGAGAGTAGTATGAGTAGGTTAGAAATATAGTCAGAATCTAGAACAGTGCTGTTCAGTAGAAATATGCAAACCACATATGTAATTTGAAAATTTCTAGTAGTCCCACTTAAAAAAATAGAAACAGATGACATTAATATTAAAATATTTTATTTAACTTAATATATCCAAAATATTATTTCAACATGCAACCAACATAAGTAATTAATGCTAAATTTTACATTTCTATTTTTTGTTCTTAGTCTGTGAACTGGTGTATGTTTTACACTTATACAGCACATCTAAATTTAGTCTAGCTGCATTTCAAGTGCTCAATAACCACATGTGGCTAGTGGCTATTGTTTTGGAAAGGACAGATCTAGCCCTAAATATGAAATGGGGTTTGTATTCACTTTTGACCAATGGGAAGCCATTGACAAGATTTTAACAAGGACACAAAATTATCTGATGTGTCCTTAGTAGAATGTTACCTCCATGTTACCACCACTATATTCCTAGTATCTAGACCGTGCTCAATGCTCAATAAATGTTGGATGGATGGGTGAGTAGATAGATGGATGGATGAATGGATTACTTTTGTAATCTAGTCTTACAAATAGCTGAAGGTCATAGTCCAAGAACAACTTTGCTATCATTTGTTTACCTTTCAAGCAGAGTATGATTAAAGATACTGTAGGTGACTGCTACTTTTTATAGGATTTATTTTTTTTAAGATTTATTTATTTATGCACATAAGAACTGGGTACAGGTCAGAGGTGTGTGGGGGGGAGGTGAGAGGATTCACCAGAGACAGAGTGGGGAGCAGAACAGGCAGATCCACTGAGATACACTGCTGAGGGAGCAGCGGGCAAGACCGGAGAGGTCTGCTGCGCCATGTGGGTAACTCCCTGGTCAGGGATCGAACTCGTGCTGCAGTGGCTGTGGATAGCTTCATAGGTTGTGTTTTAACCCCTTGTACCACCAGGGAGGCCCTCGGATTTTTTTAATAGGGTCTCACAAAAATGACTGATTCCTACATCTCACGGTGTGGAAACAATCTATAATAGGAATTTTGTAACTCAAATTATAAGCAATTCATGTTGTCATTTTTCTTAATGTACTAACTAAAATGTTCCTTGTATAATCATTCTATTTAATAGTGACCAGTTGTTTTAAAAAAAAATGAAGAAATGAGTTACTTATAATTATGCAGATAATCCTGAAGATAGTAAAAACTTTTGCAACTTTTTCTAGAAGCTATGGATTTGCTTTATTTCTAAATTCCTTCAAAAACATGAAAACTAAAATTAGAGCAGCCAGCTTGTATTTGGTTTGCATGGGCTCATGCTGTCTTCCTACTCTTCCATCTGTTAAAACAGTTTTTTGGTGATGGCATGGAACTAGAACATATAAGAACCCAACTTGCCACATCCCTGGGGATAGCAAAATCCTTTACCCACAGCACTCAGTTTATTTAATGTATTTTGTCTGTACAGCACATCAATTTTGGATGCTTTACAGAACAAATCACAACCTTATGTCATCTAGAAACAAGCTTCTAAAGGGAGAATTGATAAAATAATACTAGCAAAGAAACTGAATATGCTAGTATTATTTCGCTTCCCAAAGACTATTGACTGTTGACAGTAGAACTGGAATCATTCTCAGAGTAATTTCCTTCCCAATTATTTCAGTAATGGAGGTTGTTAGGAGGAAACGATGTCTCTATATAATCTATCTATTTACATAAACAAGTAGAATGCTTATATAGCCAGGAGTTACATAGTATCTAATCATATTTACTTTCTTTTTAGTGGAAACATTGTAGGTTATCATGTGATTGTTCCATGTTGTTCCTGCCTTCTTTCCTGCAACAATGGACACTTTTGGATGTTTCACAGCCAGGCAGTATACGGTATTAACAGACTAGACTCCACTGGTAAGAAAAACAGATATTCCTCTAAATTTTGTCTATCAAAAAAATAAAATTAAATTTGTCTATCACTACCTGAGTGAAGCTGCCAATAGATTCTTTTAGAATTCCCTCTAAAACCTTACCTGAGTTCGATCCTCTATAGTAAAACTTTAATCCTTTTTATCCCAAACATTCACTTATGGAAGGTATTAACCAAAATTCATTGCCATTTCTGTTTCCAGCATTGTATTTAAGAGACTCAAGCTTGGCTAAGTTCCTTGGTTGTCTTAAATTAATATTTTGAGTGCTTTAAATGTTTGCCTTGATACATATGATGACTCTATAGAGAATTATAGAAGATTTCAGATTGTGTGTGTGTGTGTGTGTGTGTGTGTCTGAGAGGAGAGAGAGGAAAGAGATAGAGAGAGAGGGGAGAGAGAGAGAGAGACTGAGAGAGCACACACTCTCAAACCCCCAAGCAGGCGCTAGAGCCCCCAAGCATTCGCACAAGGGGGGCTGGGGCATTGGGGACTTGGGAGAGGATAACTAGGTAACCACTGTATTTGGTGATACTGCTTCAGGATAAAAGTAGACATTTTTATCTCTGTTAAATTATTTTGGAATTTTAGCCAATTTTGCTTAATACTAAATACCAATATGTTATATTAATTATTTAGTAGGAAAATATACAGCCAGTTCTTAAAGACATTTAGAGAATACGTTTTACATTGTCTGGAACCATTCAGTTTTGTTATAGACACATGTGTCTCATATCTGTTTATATAACAGATCAAGTTGACTTTAAAGAACTTGTGGATCTAAGTTAGCACTAATACTTTTCAGATTTTAAAATGTATATTTTAGTCTCCTTCAGAACTTACAATATGTTCATTTTTTTTTAAAGTATGATTTGCCTTCAAAGACTAAAATATGAATTTTAAGTTAGGTTGTCAGGGTCTTTAAATCCTTCAATTAAACTTGGGTTTTTATAGACTGACTTTTTTTTTTATCACCTGGTGTTCAATTGTGGCTCTCAACCTATTATTTGGGTCTCTTAATTTAAGACTCTGTTCAGAAGGCCATTTTTGAGCAAGGACTTATCCTGAACTCCCCTAACTGAGATGTGGACTCTTCATTTAGACCTCCAGAAATGTTTGTGTTGCTCATGGGACACATTAAAGGAAGTTTCTGCTTTGATATTATTTTTCCTGCTTCACAGAATTCAAAACATAGGGTGGAGATTTTTCAGTTTTTATTTTAATATTGGTCAATTTTTAAAAGATAAAAGCCCAACATTATTCCATTTGCATTGAATCTAATCCATGAGAAACAGATGGATCACAGGATTTCCTTCCTCCCTTCTTAACAGAGAAAGGAAGGTGCTGCTTCTCTCAGATCCAATCTCTTAGTTTATTTTTTGTCCTTTGAACCAATTGTGCTAAGCTACTTATGTCTCTGAGTATTGACTCCAAAAATATCAAACTTTTTTTTGACCCTAATATTGTGATTTAAAGCAAGATTTTCTAGATGCTTTGAATAAAACAGACTTTCTAATGGCATTGGAACTGTCCTGAATTACCTGAATCAGCAGCATCCGAGGAATACATACACAAACTTTATACAAAGAAGTCTACCTTATAGTCTAGCCTTCATATGTAGACCTGATTTCCCAAAACTTCCTTGATGAGACTTGAGAAACTTCAGTCCAAATTCCCTGGGATTTTTGGCAAATACTTTCAAAGGCAAATTGACTTCAGCTCTCCACTTACCTTTACAGGTTCTAATCATCCCATAGATTTTCCCTATTTAGTGTCATATTACCAAAGGCAGAGACCACTCATTCTTGGATAAGGTGGAGGTGGAGGAGGGATTTTTTTTTAATTATTATTGTTATAAACAATTCAAACACACAAAAAAATCATTGTAAATAGGGCCTCCCCTGGTGGCACAGGCGGTTGAACACCATGCTGTGAAGCTGTCTGCAGCCTCTGCAGCGCTGGTTTGATGCCAGCTGGCCAGCAAGGGTCCCACATGGCGCAGCAGACCTCTCCTGTCTTACCCGCTGCTCCCCTCAGCAGTGTATTTTGTCAGTCTGCCTGTTCTGTACCCTGCTCTGTCTCTGGTGAATCCTTTCACTCTCCCGCACATCTGGCCTGTACCCCGGTTCTTGTACATGTGAATAAATAAAACTTAAAAAAAAAATCATGGAAAATATTATGGTAGACTTCTGTATCCCCACCAGTATCTAGTAGATGTTAATTTGTTGCCTGATTGGATTCTACTGTTTCAGCCAGGACAGTTGATTGTTTCTATTGTTTCAACTATGTGACAGGGTACAACCTAGAGTGTTACTTTGGACACCTGTCCAAAGTGGACAGTTAGCAGAGGGTAACTGCTATATTTGCTATATATATACATAGTTGTTGTTTTTTCTTCTTAATTTACACAATGGAATACTTTACAGAGTAAAAAGAAATGAGCTAACCTATGTAACATGGACATATGATGTTGAGTGAAAAAAGCAAATTAGAAAAGATACATACATCCAGCATAATACATAAAACAATGATATGTATTATCTCTGGTCCTTTTAAAAAAAAAAGATTTATTTATTTATGCAAACAAGAACTGGGGTACAGGCCAGAGGTGTGGGGGTGAGAGGATTCACCAGAGACAAAGGGGGGGCAGAATGGGCAGACTGACTGAAATATACTGCTGAGGGGAGCAGCAGGCGAGTCAGGAGAGGTCTGCTGTGCTGTGTGGGTCACCTCCCTGGCCGGGGATCAAACTTGTCCTGCATTGACTGCAGATAGCTTCATAGTGCTGCATCTTAACCCCTTGTGCCACCAGGGAGCCCCCTATTGTGATCTTATACCCTTGTAATAAACGTAGTACAAACACCCGTGGTGTACTGGCAGAGTGGAACCTGCAAACCACATCTCCAAACACGGGTTCATCCCATTCCACCACTCAGTCTCTATGTCCATGTGCATAGCATGGGTCTCCAGAGTTGCTAAATCCTCCTCGTATCCACACTGACAATTGGACAACTTGTGATTTGCTTTTCTTGTTGACTTTTCTTGTTGGACTCTCCTAGAAGTCAATTAACAATGATTTTTTATCAATTTAGAGCTTTCACGGTGTAATATAGTGCATGCCCAGATTAAACTATTTCATTAGCCTCTATCATATTTATGGTCTTGTGGTACATACCTGCACTGGATTCTTCAATAGGAAATCTGTCTTTTCACAATGAGATTTTAGATGGTTCTTTTGTTTGTTTTATTGACAGCACCAACCTGGTTACAGTTCTATATTGACATTCTAGAATAAAGCCCATCTTTATCAAGGGTTACTGTTCATGTTAATACTGGCTCCAAAACTTAGCTTTTTTTAATCAGATAAAAAACACCATCTACTTTCATGTTTATTAAGGAGATGAGACTTGCTAAGGTCTTCTTTGTGAACACTCCGAAGGAACAACTAATCTAAAAAGATCTTGTGAGATCTTTTCTTAATGGAGCCATTCTTTAAAAGTATTGAAATTTATTTGAAAGTAATGATCACTGTAGAGTGATTATAACATAATGTAGCTGAGGCAGAGCTTGAGTAACTCCTGAGGTCCTTTTGAATTCTAAGTTTCTAGAATTCAAGCCCTTTGTTTAAAAGGATTTGAGGAAAGTTTATGTCCTAGATGAATAATGTTACATAATTTTATTTGTGGTAGATTCTTTAATAGCTTTTTGCTTTGTTGCTGACATTATGGTTAATATAAGAATATTAACATATAAAGTTTCATTTATAATTTTCTGAGTTATAACAGTAGTCAGGGTTAAGTAATTTTATGACCTTTTATTTTCAGGTATAAACTTCCTACTTTGGGGCAACTTGCCAGAGATAGAAGAGACTGCAGATGAAGATGCATTGGATATGTCGGCAGAGGAGTGTATTAGATGAACTGGATTATGATATGTAGGATATTCCAAATTTTCCTATTTAAAATGTATATTAATAATCAACTTTATATTTGTTGGTTTTTTTTCAGTGCTTTATTTGGAAAATAAAAATGGGGCATTTGTTGATTTATTCATTTGCTGTCTCAAATTAATTTCCTAAGTATAAATTAGTCAATATCCTTCTTTTCTTCTACTTCTACTTGCCCCTCTTCCTCTTTCCACACCTCTGTTCACTATAGGTGTCTTCTTAATTCAGATAAGGAAAGATTCTTTCACATGTTGCTCATCTACCTTCTAAGTTTGGAAGAGTTTTTCTTATAACTAAATGCTAGTACCATTAATTTTACATTTCTGAATAAGGGGCATTAGTATGCACACAGGTACAAACCATACATATTAGCAAAGCATACATAGGTCAAGCACAACTGGAAATTAAAGCTTACCTAGAAATTAAAAAAAAAAAAAAATAGGTTGTTATGCTCCATGAGTACTGATTATCATATGTTATGCTAATGATAAGTACTTTAACATGGAGCGAGACTTTGTGAATCAACAAATAGAAAAATTAAAAGTTTAAAATATTTGCCAGCATGTTTGCCTCAGTGTGTTAATAAGTGCATTTGTCAGACAATTATTGATATATACTGTTTACCAATATTATTTATTTACTTTCTACTAAAGTTATATGGGTAGTATTTTATGAAAGCCAGATGAAATAAACCTCTGTATCCCATTCTAGGGCATTCTTTGTAAATAGGAAATTTTAGATGCATAGTCTCACTCCTAACCATCAAGCAGAAAAAATGAAGAAGTGACTTATTTAAACCATTGTACATTATAAGATTTTTTTAAAGCCACACAGGAATAGAAAACTGGTTGGATTACTGTTGGATTCTGTTTTTATGTAGAGTTGAAAAATCAATGCATTGCCTTAGCTAATAACTCAGCTGTGGGCATTTTGTCAATAGTAATACCAAAGCAGACTGAGTCGTGGTTTTGTAAATAAAGTTTGTTCTAAAAATGACCAACCTTTATTTTTTTTATTTATTCACTTTTCTTACCTAAATAAAAATATAAAATATTAAAACTAACATTTATTGAGTTCTTAATATATGCCAGAAACTGTTGGAAGCACTTTATCACTTAATTCACTTATTCCATATGGCAAATTTATGTGTTAGGTTCCTTCTTCACTGATAAGACAGGTGAGGTATAAAGAGGGTAAGTTGCTTGCCCAGGGTCAGTGGGATGGGCAACGGATCAGAAGTATGCCAGATTCAAACCCAGACAGACTGACTCCAGTCATTCTTGATGCTGTACCCCTGAGCACCTTCAGACATTAATCAGCTATGATTTTATTTACCCAGAACACATGCTGGGGAGCTAATTACCTTGTTATTTGCCCTAATGAAGGCCCAAATGACTGATTTCAAGGTCAAACAAACTCACACTGGGTCTTAGGATAAGAGTGACCTGTGGACATTGACCTAATCATTAGCTATAAACCAAGATAAAAGATGCTTCAGGAAATGCTATTACTGGTACTTGGAAAACTTTTCCAAGTCTTTTACACTAACCATCAGTCTTGACAGAGGTCACTAGAAGAACCAAAGGGGTGAGTGTGGAATAATACGTTTTTGGATTTGAGTTATTTTTTTTTTTTCTTTAACCTCCCTAAAATACTTTCTGGAATAAAGTGGCATAATGAGTAAGATAAAAAATAGATTGATACTACATTATATACTTATTCAGTTAACATGTTCAATTAAAGAAGAAAAGTTTAATGCTAGAGAATGTAACATTTTTAAAATTCAAAAGAGTTCATCTGGTTCCTGTTCTACGCAGGCCTTCAAAGGTTATGATAGACTGGGGGCTCTTTGAAGAGCAGAAGTAACACAAAAGTGCATTGACTAAAGCAAGCCCCAAATGTGATTTCACTCCAGTGGAGAACATTTCAAACCACTCGCTACCTTTTGGCTAACTAGGTTATGGGAAAGCCAATTCTAAGCCAAAGACAGATCAGAAATATTTTATTTAGAGAAATATATTCATGGCTGTTTTGGGTTTTTTTTTTTAAGATTGATTTATTTATGCATACAAGAGCTGGGGTACAGGCCAGCGGTGTAGGGGGTAAGAAGATTCACCAGAGGAAATAGAATAGGCGGGGAATAGAACAGGCAGATCGACAGAAGTACACTGCTGAGGGGAGCAGTTAGGAGAGGTCTGCTGCGCCATGTGGGTTGCTCACTGACCAGCCGGGGATCAAACTCGTGCTGCAGAGGCTGCAGATAGCTTCATAGGTTGCGTCTTAACCCCGTGTGCCATCAAGGAGGCCCTCATGACTGTTTTTTAATAAAAACAAACTACATGCACTCTGGTAAGACCAAAAGTGGAATTATATATGAGGATTGACCATGCGCTTTCTAATCCAGGTATAATTCCTAGACTTAGAAAACCTATTTGTGCTTCAGCCCACTTCTAATATTCAACTCAACAAGCCCGTGTTGGGCCTCTATAGTGGAACTGTTATGTGGTGCAAAGGAAACCAGAACACTAAGGCAAACAAGAAACAGGTTTATTGCACTGGTGCTTGGTTCAGCGGATCTACCTCCAAAGGCTGAGCCCCACTTCAAGGAAGTTATGGACTTATATATATTTCAGTTCTGGGTCAGACAGTAGGTAAGTTACATCCCAGAAAATGTAGCAAGTTGCTTCTCACAGGACCTGGGGCTGCCTTGCTCAGGCACCTTGCTTTGGAACAAGAACTGCACAATAACTGGCTCACACTTGCCTCCGTGGAGTAGGCAGTGAATTGTGGAGAGGCTGGAACCTTCAGAGCCTATGTAGTGCATCAGATTAAGTGATTTAACAAAGGCAAACTAAAGTTCAATGACTCCATAAATGAGAAAAGCAGTCAGGCTGAGTAGTGAGAGAGTGGGAGTTGAGAAAGCTACTGAGAAGAAATGATACTTGAGCCAGTCTTTCAACACAGGACTTTGCCAGCTAGGACAGTTTTGGTCAGAGATAATAGTCTAAACAAATGGACAAAGTTTGAAAGTATCTAGCTTATTTGGGAAATCATAAGTGTTCTTATACTTCCAAAATATGTAATAAAACTTCATTAGAAGATGAGTCTAGCCTGGTAGGTTGGAATCATAAAGACTGCTCCATGCCATTGTAAATTTAGCCTTGACCCAGTAGCAATGTGGAGCTCTTGATGTTTTTAAGTAACAGAATAAAACAGATGTAGGATAGCTCTGACAGGAAAGTGTAATCAAGTTTAGTTTTCCTAGTGTCCTTTCTTAGGACACTAGGACTTTGACTTAACGATTTGACCATGGAAATCATTTCTATTGCCTTTAGCCTAAGAACATAGATAGGTCTTTAATTTCCCTGAATTTCTTGTTTTTTGCGGAACATCTGGTCTGCAGTGCAGCACTGCCTATTCCCGCCCCCCTTCCATCTTGTCATTCCTGAAGTTCAAGAAAAGGGCAGTGAGTCATCAGATCAACCACTATGACTTTTTTTGTACTTTGTCTTTTTTCTTCAAGTCAGTTTCTCCACCTCAAACGCAGGCTTTGTGGGGAGGCATCTTGGATAGAGCCTAATCTTAAAATCATATCTCGCTTAATCCCTGCTCTGAAACCAGGTCTTTAAATATTGCTAATCTAGGGAGATTACCCACAAAGAATTGCTTTTTTGACCTCTGAGTCACATATTGCTTTTCTTTGGTGAGGAGGAAGTAACCAAAATGCATAAATCATGGTATATAAAACAACTAATTAGGACAGAAATGGGGTGTGGGGAAAAGTAAGAGAGGATTGGATCAAATAGTCTAGCTTCAGTGGTGAATTACTCAATGAAGGCATTCCCTATTTTAACAGTCATGCTTATAAAAGGAAATAGTTTCCTTTTCTGCCTCTTTTTTTTTAAACTTTAAAATCTGCCTAAACCATAGTTTCTTTCTTGCTTGGTATTGAGTGTATGCCAAATCTACCCTAAACTGCACAGATGGAAAAAATTAGTCTATGTCTGTGGTACCTCTGGGGTTGAATATTTTTAGTACTTAAATCTTTAGCTAAAGATGCTTTCTTCCAAGACTTTTATAGACTCATTTTATTGTCATCCAATGGATAAATGAACTGAGGAAAAAATTAATGATACGATGTGTTGTATATCCTTTTATAGTTTTTTGTGACCTTTCACATCTACCTTGACTGAATCTCAGAATAACCTTAAGAGTTATTTTCACTTTATAAATTAAGAAAGAAAACCTTAGTTTCAATACCCAGAGTTAGAAGAAGTCAGACTTGAATATTGGCCCTCTCATCTTGCTGTAGGGTTCCTACCTACCTAACCTACCCTAAGCCCAAGGTCTATTATTCCCTTATTAGCTATAAAGTTTTGGATGGATTGCCTCTGACTTTCAGCCTCAAAATCTAACTATGTTCTTTTTTTATGAGGTTTTTTTTTTTAAAAAGATTTGTTTATTTATGCATATAAGAACTGAGGTACAGGCCAGAGGTGCAGGGAATGAGAGGATTCACCAGAGACAGAGTGGGGAGCAGAACAGGAAGATCGACTGAGGGGAGCAGTGGGTGAGACAAGAGAGAGAGCTGCAGAGGCTGCCAATAGCTCACAGTGCTGTGCTTAACCCCTTGTGTTAACCAAGGAGGCCCAAAATCTAACTACTTTCATCAATTAATAGATTCAGCAAATACTTATTGAGTGTCTGCTGTGGGCAAAATATAAGCTGAGAATGCAGAACTGAATAAAACAAAATCTCTGCTCTCATGTGAAACTAACATTCTTTTGAGGAGGAGGGAAAATGTGAACCAACATTTTTTGAGGGTTACTATGTGCCAGGTTGTCTATGCAACAATCTTAAGAGGTAAATCCTATTTTTATCTTCACCATATGATCAGGAAATTAAGCATTTGAGAGGTTAAAGAACTTGCCCCACATCATGCAGCCAGTAAATGATAACATTCTAACGATTAATTTTGGTTCCTTTTTGTTTTTCAGTATAGTTGTCTTCTCTCCAAATAAAGTCAAGTTTCCATTAACAGTCTTCATGGACACATCTTTCTCTATATGATTATTAATTTTAGATGGTGACAATAGCATCCTCCTTTTCAGTAAGGGAAATTGGTATAATTTTAAATGATACAAATGCTAGTCTCACATGTTATGGAGAGGAAAAAATTATGCAAAACTCTTCACTTTCAGCATGTCCATCTGAAAATTAAGTAGTTTTTTTTTTTTTACTAGTTCCGTTGCTTTATCTTCCAAGCAACAAAATCCACTAGAGAATAAATACCCATTCTTTAAATGTTTTGTATGTTTAAATTTCATAATTTAAAACTGTAATAATTTTTCTCATTATTTTATAATTTAAAAAGTGAATTGAATGGTCATGCTTTGCAGATTGCTCTAGTCTCAGTCTTCCTTATAAGCATGTATTTAAAATCTATTTGTATAGAATTTCAGAAGCAGCCTTGCTTCAAATGAGCACTACTGAATCTTCATAACAAGATTATGTATTTATTATGAGAAGCAAAATCAGGTATCAAATCCGTATTCAAATTTTGCCTTTTGAGACTTATAGAAGAGCAGGTTGACAACTCTCTAAAGATTAATTGGATCTGCCAAATGTGGGCACCGCTGAAGTTTGCCCACCAGAAGTCATCTCTACACCTCTATTCATACAACCTACTTCCTCTGGAAAGAGGCCCATGGTAAGAGCAGACATATGGGAATGATTCACTTGGAGAAAGCTGTATCCAGAAAATCAAAACAGTGTATTTTCTCTCTCTAGATCCTTGCCATAATTTTCCTACCCAAAGGAACCACCTGCTATTACAACTATGACACCTGAAAATCTTTCTGTATATTGCAGGAGATTGCTCATGCGTGGGCAGATTTTTCAGGCTGCTCAGTGGTATTTTGAAAAAGGATTTTTTTGGGAGAAATATTCTCAGAGGTTGG